ATTGTGTGTTGAAGGACAAAAATCATCAATTCGTACATTTTTACATTTTATTATCTTTTGTTGCAGCTAAAGCTTGAGGATGTAAAAGTGAACTTTTTTGGAAAAGTCTCCAAGTTCCAGCATTGATGGGTGTAATTTCTTATTTTGAGACGACAAAAACTCACGATCTAAAATCGTCAACTTTCTTGTTCTTCAGCCTTCTCATTGCTCGAAGCATACGCTCTGCAACCATGCCTAGGGGCGATTCGACTCTTTCTAAACGCAGCTTATTTTGACAGTAAAAGACCAATCCTATTTAGTTTTATGTACCTTCTATGAGGTCATATTTGTCTCTTGTAATAGATTTAACTTGCATTGAATTTTGTTTTGAGACCGAACGTTTGGTACGCACCTTGAACGAGCCTATCCACTTTCCGCCCTGACATCATATTTTTATTAGTTCGTCTCTATTCGTAGTTTGTATGTGAAATGTCAACACCTCTTCTACAACTTGCTTCTGCAAAATTCTTCTGAGAAGTTTTCTCCCTAAAAATTCTTGCTCTCCACGGTTCGTTCTGGACAACTTAGCCAACTTTGCTCTAAGCGCTTTGATCCGTTCTAGAATAACAGCAAGGTAGCGAAAATTTTGTGCAATTTGCAGAAAGTACCTCCTCTGTTGCCGCTCTTCCCAAACCTCCTTGACCATCGTCGGTATTTCGTTTCTGCATCTAACAGCGCCACTACACACTTTGCATGTGCCACCACAGATGTAGCTCCTTTATTGCATTTCTTATGCGCTATTTTTTCCGTATATCCAATACTTTTGAGCCTTAATTCGCTACAACTTATTGATTTGGATCCACCCTTGATGAAAAAAATTTGCTGGTAAAAAAGTTTCTTACTTGTTATTTGCCACAGCTGCCATGATTCCAGACAATGCCTGGTCAGCCCAATGCTGTAACAGCTTCCTTCCTGCCTCTTCGGTTATGGTGATGACTATCTTCTTCCCATCATTCTGTACTGTATTGGGTAGAACCTGATTATCATCAAGCATGTCAGCGTCGTTTTCATCTCTGTTCACGTCATTCTAAAGCAAAATTTTCGAAAAGAAGAGTGGAGTGGGGAGAAAATATGAAGGGGGAACGAGTAAGGGATAAAGATGATAGATATATCACTAACGAAACAAACTGCAATGATTCCCTATTTCAACGCTCGTTTTGTATTCGGAAAATTTTTGATTTCATGAAAAAGCAGAAATTCTGTCCGGAAAGTGGAAGCGTAACGTTGTCGCTTTCCAAACTTTTAGAATGTTGATGAATTTTCGCTTCAAAACTCTGAAACATACAAAAAGGCATAGCGTAACGTTCCCGAGAAGTCTTTTTACAGGGAGGATTTACTTTGGAATAATCAAACAATTATGATCAACTGACATTACACAATTTACATGCATGATTTTGAATCTGAATCGTTATATATTCAAATTAACGGGAACTCACACTACTCGTTTTTCGTTTCCTCTCGCGTTGCTCTACAGCTGTGATATTCACATACGGCCAAAGCGATGGTGGAATATCGCTCTGCCTCAGAAGCTCTTTTTGTTCTTTGGAGACGTTCTGGATGGATATTCGTTCAAGCTCTGCTAAATTTTGCCACACTGAGGATGATGGAATGGCCTTGTCGAACTTCTGATGACTTGGAAACTGCGATGCAGCTGAAAAGACGATTGCTCAGAGTATTTTTCCACACCAATCTTGAATGTGTGGTTGTGCAAAAAATCAAGCTACAAGTGTGAGGTTTTGGCCGCGCACGTCTTTCCCATTTTTGTGAGAAGTCATCAATTGAGAATAAGAAGATTTCGCAGCCAAAGGTCAAAATCAGCAATTCTTAACAATGGGAGTTTTTCAAGCGAAGTCTTTCACGTTTGCAGATCAGCTTTTTAACCACTGAAATATATATATCCTGGGTGAGCTGCGGGATGTCACAGAATTGGGTCAAAATTAGCATAAAGGCAAAAATGGGAAGGTTTTTTTCACGATATAATCGTTCCCATTCAAATCAGACAACATTGAAACATCTCAACTTTGAGCAAGAGCTGGATCGATTGCATATCCCAAAACTTTCCGCCAGAATACCATACTT